ACATTTCTCAGTGAATTAGGGTGAATATACTCTTTCAAACACATGCCCAGTTTAGTCCCCAAATTTGTGGACATTTAACATTTTTTTCTACGTAGTATGTAAAGGACAGGTAGTGCCTATCTTCTGGTGTAGCATCACGCTATAGCTGATGCTAGCAGAGCTTTTCATGTTTGAGCAATCTCGAATTACACAACTAGACACAGCACTGTGCATGTCCAACATCACATGTATGTTTGTTCACACAAAATCAAGGATGTATGTTCTCTCTTTTTACAGAGACCTCATGGATAAAAACAGACATTCAAACAGATCCTCACCGGCATCAGCTCCAGTGACACATCAGATAAGCAATCTCATCCGCAGCAACAGCCAAACCTCCAGTGATCCCATCAGGCAGGTTAGCCTCAGTGAAAGGGAAAGGTCCAAAGAACCTGAGCGAGAGCACCCTGACCGGCTGAGAGAGCCACCCATAGCAGAACACAAGATTAAAGAGAGCCGTTCCCCAGTGAAGGAAACTCCAAGCCATGATAAGAGACCCTCTGAGGACAACACAAAGCCAGTAATCCAATCTGTATCCCCATACAGCAAACCTGCACTAAGTGAGAGCTTGAAGCTTACCAATCTAATGAGCAAAGACATGGAGAGAAAGACAGAGCTTCCCAGCGACCTCCAGAAGATTAAGAATGACATCAAAGTCAAAGAGGAGAGGAAGGAAGACAGTGATGTGCTGGTGGTAGGGTCTGAGCCTTCACAGCACTCCCGATCAGTGGAGCATCCCCCACCACCTACTTTGCATGGATTGTCATTGCCTCACTCAATGGCTGCCTCTATGCCCATCTCCATGGGCAGTGTGCACCAGATGAACAACATGAATGTTCTGGACCGCAGCAGAATGATGACCCCGCTCATAGGCATGAATCCTTTGTCAGGAAGAGAGAGGCTGCCACATCCCGGATTTTCTTGGGACCCAATGAGGGACCCATTGCGAGATGCCTACCGGAGCTTAGACCTGCACCGTCGAATGGACTTTCAGCTCCGGACAGATCCTATCCATAGGTTCCCTACCACCTCTGGATTTTATGACCATGAGCGTTCTTACAGAGACAGGGAGCCACACGACTATAACCATGAAAACCTTCTTGAAGCCCGCCGAGAGCAGGAGCGGTTGCGGCAAGTGGAGGAAAGAGAGCGCTTGCACTTACGGGAAGAACTTGAGCGTGCCAGAATGCACCACTTGCACTCGTCCCCCATCGAAAGTCACCTGGCACACGTGCCATCCTTCATGCCTCATTTAAGCGGGATGCATTACCCCAGACTCAGTCCATCCACTGCCATGCACAATGGGATTTTAAATAGGAACCCACCAACTGCAGCGCTGAGCGCCCCACCGCCTCTTGTACCAGCGAGCAGCACCAGACCTGCCTCCCCACGCAGGACTACTCCACTCACAAACTCAGAGTCCAGGGACTATTCCCCCTCTAGGAACCCCAAAGAAGTAGAGGCACGATAGTCCCCAACATTGAATTTTAAACTCGCCTGTATATAAAACAAACAAACAAAAAAAAAACAAACAGGAAAAAACAAAACAAAACAAAAAAAACAACAACAAAAAAAAACAAAAAACAAAAAACAAACCTTTTACAAAATGCACTGCTGTAAACTTTTTTTTTTAATGTAAAATTTGTAGAAGTTAAGCACATTTCCATAAATAACGGGGTCGGGGATGCAGACTTTCCAACAAGAAGGTTGCTGAGAATGGGAATTTAATATATAGGTATTGATTTTTGGTTTTGTTTTTTGTTTCTGTGCTAAAAAAAAAATGAGTTAAAAATATCAAGTTTGTACATTTTTTCCCAAATGTGAGAAACATTTTTAATGGATTTGTATTTTTTTTAATTTTGTGCTCTTTATTCACTTAAAAAAGAAGAAATTTTGCTTTTGTTTTTAGTTAAATTTGCATTTTAAAGGCCTCAGATCCTTAAGAAAAAAATACCCAGGGTTTCTTAAAAGTATTATTTATGGAAATACTGTAGTTTTACAGTCCACTGTGAGGTTCCCTTCTGAGGCCAATTGATCACTTACCTTGGTACTTTGGAACCGAAGTTACAGATATATATTAAAATATTAATA